ATCCTGTGGCCAGCATGGCCCAGCTGGGCCAGAGAATGCTCAGCCTCTCTGCATGGGCTGGAGGCTGGTCTGAGGAGGTGTTGGTGCATCCTTATTTTTCCCAACTGACAGGCAAGATTTCCTGGTGTGTTCTGGCTGCCTTTTACCGCTTCAGGGATGCAGAGCAGTCATAAAGTTTAATTGCTCAATTAAGCAGGCTTAACAGTTGGTTTACATTGCTGGAGTGCCACAAAGCAGATTGAACAAACTAGTGAAGCTGGACTGTATTTTTTTTTTGTGAGAAAAACATAAAATACATGGGCTAAAGTAACCTAAACACAAAGGTGGGTATAGCTTGTACAGGAAGGCACATGTTTCAGTGTTGTGGAATGAGTTACAAATGCAAACCCTAATCCGTCCTGTTCTCCTTACAAGATGGCAGAGAGCGCCCCGGGTGTGCAAGGAAAGCTGGCACAGCCAGGGCTCTGTTGAACCTCTGAAATGGGGAAACACTGAGCGGCTGGGGCTTCCTGCTGCTCTCCCGGGGCAGCAGAAACAGCCTTTTGAGAACAAATGGTGGGGGAGGGAAAAAAAAAAAAAGAGGCGTATAAGTATCAATGGTGATTTGCAAATGGAGGAGTCTAAACTGTACTGGGGAGTGGAGTTCAGTGAGGGCGGCAGTAAGGGAGGGTTCAGACGAGCTGAGCCCATAGCTCTGCCTCTCACCGACTGCTCGCCCTTTACCAGATCCCTTCAGCAAGCCCCACAGCTTTTCTCCCCGCCCACCATTGGCGAGTTCCTGTTTCTTTTCAAGCCTCTTGGTTGTGGGGTGACGCCGGATGCACGTGCCTAAGGAGAGGAGAACAGCAAACACTTTAGGGTGGTGGAGGCCTCTAGAGACAATTTCACTACAAATAAATACTACGTCTATCTCAATGCCAGCAGGCATCTCAGTAAAAGCGGCTTCGTGTTCAAGAAAGCTGCCTGATTACTTCCAAGTTAATTTTTTTTTTTATTTAACAAAGCAGTTTGCTGACAATATAAACTATTGGCTAGAGCAGTGTTTCTCAGACTGCCAGCTGCAGCTACCAGAGGAGCCATGGGAGAGTTCAAAAGGACCAAAGCTCACAAAAAGTTAATCAAGTCATAATATTTTTATGCTAAAATGCCAACAATTTAAGGCAGCAAGTCTTTCTCTTGATAAGCAGGTGGTAACCACAGCCTGCAGGATTTTCATGGAAACTGACAAATCAAAAAGAAAGCAAAACAAAATAATAAAAAATAATGAAACAGACTCCGTTAACCAGCCCCCAGTGGGATGGTGCCCCTTTGGTAGGTCACCTTCAGCTCCCGGCTCATCCCACCTCAAGGAGCAGCCCCACTCCTCCTGCTCCCTGACAAAGTCAGCCTGAAGAGTGTTGTTTTTTGGACCCGTGTCAAAGTTTAGTACAACATTTTTTCAAGCATTATTTTTGAGTTAGTGAAACTAATGTAAATCAGCTGATTTCTAGTCGTTCTTTAGTGGGGATTAGCAGACAAATTGCAGTTAGTGCAAACACACTTCAGTTTAGCTTGTCCACTATGTAATGATGGGGTTTGAGCTGCGGTTTTCACTTGGTGGTGATGGAAAAGCTAAGGGAGCTTTAGCATTCACCCCCATGGCAGCTGGCAGTAATGCTGACCCAGTGTGAGCCCCCCTTCCATGTCCCAAGGGCACACACAGCTACGTAGGGCTGCATACGAGCCTGGCTTCCCCATCCCCTACCACCCACACGCACTTAGATCAGCACTGAGTCTGTTCCAGCCTTGTCACAATCCTCTGACAAAGTAAAGAGAGACAAAGGGGTAAAGGATAAGGAGGGGAGAGATGGAAGGAATACATATGTGGAGTGGGAATGAGATGAATAGATCATTAGCTGAAAAAAACATCCGATCGTGGTTTTCAGTTGTGTTTGAGAAGGCCTTCAGTAACAAGCACTTCTACAGGACTCCAAACAGAGGACAGAAGTGGCAAAGGTCACTTTAAGTGAACCTATTTCAAATCTAGCTCAAATCAGAAGGACGGGAGGTCTGATCACTAGCTGGTTATGCAACGGTCACATGTGAAATCATCAGTTGGTCCTTATAGTCTAGTTCGAGTGGTATGAGCTGGCACTGTAAAAGATGTAAACCCTCTGCCTGACCTGCAGCCTCTGCCCAGTCTTTCCTCTGGAGAGCTGATGTAGGAATAGCAGAAAGAAAGTGCATTTCATTACTCTCTCATGCTCAGAACAGCTCAGAAAGTGGTTGTTTCTTTTGGATGTTTGGGAAAGGGT